GCTGCAGCTCTTATCTTCATAGTCACCTTTGATTTGGTCTGCCACGCCCTCTTTCAAACCCGGCGGCGGCTGGCGAGCAGCTGTTAATGATTCTCACACCTTCAGACTTTCAGGTAGAAACGATCAAACCTGGATCATGTTACAGGAATCGGTGCTTCGCTGTTTCTCTTTGTGCTTGAATGAGTCTTTTTATTTGGTCTGAGCGTCACAGCAGCTGCTGGTTTCCCGTGAACAGTCAGTGTGGTCGGTCAGGTGACTTTGCTCGCGTGTTCGTGGATCATGCTCGTTTAGCGGGAGCATTTTTAGGTCTCCACGTGGAAAACGGCCAAATGCTGCCCAGAAATATCAGAGAATAGCTCGCCAACGTTCAGGGTAGCGCACACGCGTGAGCGCAGCCTCCTGCCCTGTCAGGCCGCGGCGTGCGGCAGGAACACTACAGTCCACGGGGAGCGAGGAGGCGTGCAGCAGATGGTCAGAGCGCCGCGTTTAAGGACACACACACGTTACCAAACCTTACTTTCACAGTGTGCCGCAGCTGCTCGTGCAAAGTGTGCGCGCAGCACTGAGGCATACCACTCCATCATAGCGGCGCACCCTGAACTTTGACCTTCTGAGTAAAAGTGTAGCCGGAGCAGAGGAATGTGGGACCGACTGATCGGAAAAACAGGCAGGAAAATACGAGCGCATGAAGCTGGACTGAAGAGACAGCCCGGCGGCGCTTCTGGACTCGGCCTTAGCGTTCTGTTTGCCGCCATGTTTTCAGGCGCCAGAAGCGACCTCGTTTGGATGACAGGGCGGCGTGCTGAGTTAGCACAGATACCTGCTAATTACTGCTGATCTTCCCTCAGGTTCTTGGACGCTCTTCGTGCAGCTGACCTCGCAGCAGCTGGAAGTGAGCAGGACGCCATGTTGGTTAAAAAAGCGAGTGAAGTCAAAGAAGTGACGTCTGAGTTTGTGTCTCAGGCAGCCGGGTCACGGTCGCATGAAGAGCGTGGAGAAGAAGCCAGCTGGGCTTTGAGTTTGAAGCTGTTTAAGACGTCCCAGTTTACTTTTCTCCCTTTTGACTAAACGTCGTCTTTAAAAGTAAAGATTGTTTCTATTAATCGAACTTTAAACGGGTTTAAACGGTTAAACAGTTCAACTCTGGGTTTAATCGTGACTCGAGTTTCTGGTTTTAAGGCGGCGAGGAACAAACGTGTGAAATAAGCCGAGCTGAGAACATCTGGATCATCGCTGAAATGAAAACAATAAAAACAGTCAAACCAAAGTA